TGTGTGTGTGTGTGTGTGTGTGTGTGTGTGTGTGTGTGTGTGTGTGTGTGTCGATGAACCGGCGTCGATAGTGTGATACACCCTGAGCACAAGTACTTGTAATATGAACACGGAAAACTTGAAATCACGGATAGCTCGCACAGCTTGCCATTTCCTGACTCATATCATGTCTACAATTTTTGGGTTATATTCGGTGAGCCCGAATTATGGATGTGTGGTACTCATTTGTCAGTTCTCGATGCGTTTGAGTTGTCCGTGTAATCAATCAATAACGGCGATAAGTGGACACATGTCGTGAAACTTGATTAGTGATCGGGGCGGCAGTTTGTATACACACCCATGGTTGTAGTCTATTATTTTTACTATCTTTAATAGCAAAAGTATTTTTTAAAAGATAAAAATAGCAATAATAATAATGACGACGACGACGATGATAATAATAATTATTATTTTAAGAATGATGATGTTGATAATATTAATAATAATAACGACGACAACAGCAATAACAATAATGATAATAATATTCGTAAAAATAATAATAATAAGAAGAAGAAGAAGAAGAAGAAGAAGAATAGACTGCATTTATATAGCCCACGCCCTAAAAAAAAAAAACAGCAACAAAAACTTACTACCAAGACCGGACTGACAGCTTATGATGGAACATTCTCAGGTCCTTATCGTGTTGTTATAAAGCCAGCTCTGCGCGTGAAAGAACGGTAAAGGCAATGTGTGAATGATACATTCAGACGACTACTCAACTCTTTGGTGGTTTGACGTGAGGGTGGGCTGACATGCCCTGGCTGGAGTAAAGTCACAATATTGCAGACCACAGTGGAAACATGATCAAAGTCATAGTTTCAGGATTATTGAAAAGCAAATTTATTTTTGGATCCCTCTGTTATTTCTGTCTGTCTGTCTTATTTTCCCCTAAACCAAAAGACAATTGTTGTGTTTTTAGGCCTATACTGTTTCACCCAAGCATATTCAAACAAACAGCAAGTTAAACATTTTTAATACGTGTCGGCTAGTTTAAGAAACACTGGATTTCTGTCGTTTTTTTCTCTCCCCAGAGACTGAGCCCGTTATTTGGTTTGACAATGAACTGTGCCTCGTAGTCCGCAACTAGATGGCAATACATTGTTACTTGACTTGTACTTCAGTTGTTATTTCGAGTCTGTGACTTTGATCACTTCTTCATTGTAGTCTTCATGTGTGTATATATATTATATTTAAACGCTTAGCTAAATGGCCAGCGAACGCTTTGCTGGCAGGTAGATACATCTTGTTATCTTCTGTGTGATTGATTACATGGCAGTGGTTGTGCTGAGGTGGTGATGGCTTTTGCTGAGGCTCAAAAGTTTTTTAATTGAATTGTTCTCCTTAGAATGACATGATGGGTGATGCATGTTTATGGAGTGGCAGTCGTTTGCAGGGTATTAAATTAAATGTTGCATCAGTCAATTGATACGTTCACGTAAAAAAAAAAGTAGCTTGTACGTTCTAATTTATGCCGCCCTTCACGCTTTATGCATTTTGGCAACGACAGCTCTTTGGTATCAAGTAAAAGTACGGAGAGATGACTGTAGATTTTGAGTTTATGATGATTTTCAAGGGTTTTCCCACCCATTTAATCGTTGATTTTTTTTGGAGACGGATTTTAAAATCGAATCCCCTTAAATAGACTTGTTTTGTTTTTAAGATTGTTTTATCTATACCGTACCATGAATGATGCATTGTCGTTAAAAATATAGGTATACACTCTTTTGGTGGAATAGTTCTCAATAATGCTTAGGTCTGTTCCTGGATATACAGGTTTTGTGTGAGGGGGGAACACTGGAGCCAGCAAACAAGCGACAAACTCGGCAATATAATGTCCAAGTTGGGTCCGCGAAAACCATCTGATCTCTCGAGAAGAGACGGAGTTATTTAAACAAATTACACCC